TCGAAAATCTTCGAAAGCTTCAGTTAGGTTGTTTTCGTTACCTCTCATAGTTGTGTTCTTTTTGCTAAACGGTAATTATTGTGACTGTTTATTACCAAAAATGGCAGTCAACAGAAGTAATAATGTTATGACATTTGAATGCACACATATGGCATATTAGGTCGCTCTCCGGTTCCATTTATTACATTATTATACTGAATATCATATATCACAGATTCATTTTTTTTTTCTTTTTTATTTATTCAGATTCTCTTTATCATAAAACGGAGACGGCTTTCTTCAACCAACAAGGGCACCTTTGATGAACGTATGCATACAATCATACATACATACATACATACATACATACATACATACATACATACATACATACATACAAACTGTACATTATTTTATGTAAAGAAGCCTTATATATGTATAACAATATTTGTTGTTAGAAAAATTTCGTACTATTGTTCATTTTACATAAAAGAATATTTTTCGGTTATGAAAAAATTCCCACGGCTTCTCAAGAATCCAAGAATTTTGACTAGTTTCTGGAATATCCATATTAGACCTTTAGTTTCTCGGAAATCGAAATGTGATGAAAATGATTCCTTACACTTCCTACATTTGAACGAGGGTTTTGGAATCATAATTCCAAATGCTGCCGTTCCAGGTACATTCTATGTCTTCACACACACACACACACACACACACACACACACACACACACACACACACACACACACACACACACACACACACACACACACACACACACACACACACACACACACACACACACACATATATATATATATATATATATATATATATATATATATATATATATATATATAGATGGATGGATGGATGGATTTTTTACGTCACGAACTCCCTTTTCTACTAAGGGCTAGGACGGTTGCCTTCCTACGAAGAACTTTTTTTGGCAGATGTAATCGTTACCCTGAGTGTATGCACTTACTAACCTCAGTCCGTGACGGGGCGCGAATATATATATATATATATATATATATATATATATATATATATATATATATATATATATATATATATATATATATATATATATATATTTACATATATATGTGTGTGTGTGTGTGTTTGTGCGCGCATGTGTGTGTGTGTGTGTGCGCGCGCGCGATTGCATATATATATATATATATATATATATATATATATATATATATATATATATATATATATATATATATATATATATATATATATATATATATATATATATATATATATATATATATATATATATATATATATATATATATATATATATATATATATATATATATATATATATATATATATATATATATATATATATATATATATATATATATATATATATATATATATATATATATATATATATAAATATATATATATATATATATATATATATATATATATATATATATATATATATATATATATATATATATATATATATATATATATATATATATATATATATATATATATATATATATATATATATATATATATATATATATATATATATATATATATATATATATATATATATATATATATATATATATATATATATATATATATATATATATATATATATATATATATATATATATATATAACCAGATAAGCACATTACAGATGTGAAAACATGATTCATATATATAATATATATATATATATATATATATATATATATATATATATATATATATATATATATATAGTTTGTTAAATCGGTGACGTTACAGTACTCCAAATTCCGAAAATAAATTCTTCAATTCCCGTAACTCGTACCAGAATTCACGAGTAAAATGTTTTTATTTTTTATTTGTTTACCCTTTTTGCGCCTCTGTCATGATCTTAGCTCCGCCCTCTCATCTGGAACTAAGAATGGATTCCAAAGGTTCCCTTGACGTCAGAGTATAAACACCACCTACTCATGGCTGGGAATGGTTCCTGGAATCTTGCATTGCGTCACCAGAGGATGTAACTGGAAATCCTGGCAATAATAACAGTCTTCTGGACAATTTAATCTAATTAATGCTTTGGAAAATATATGGAATTTTGATAAGGGTGTTAATATATGCTAAGCGAAAGAGAGAAAGAGAGAAAGAGAGAGAGAGAGAGAGAGAGAGAGAGAGAGAGAGAGAGAGAGAGAGAGAGAGAGAGAGAGAGAGAGAGAGAGAGAGAGAGAGAGAGAGAGAAATTCAGTTTCGTGTATCTATATAACCTCTCTCTCTCTCTCTCTCTCTCTCTCTCTCTCTCTCTCTCTCTCTATATATATATATATATATATATATATATATATATATATATATATATATATATATATATATATATATATATATATATAGTGGAATTTCTACTGGAGCAACACAGACATACTACGCCTGTTACTCCATTAGTAAAAGAGAATAATAGGCGCAGTGGTGCCCCTCTGTTTGTGTAGCTTCAGTAGAAGTTCAGGTTCTCCCTGTTTTAC